GGTAAGAACAGATCTGTGGGTACATTCACCCAAACATATTTTATGCTCTGAGATTGCTCTGCTGGCAGGGCTACCTGAGTTGTTGATGTGTCCCTGTTTGGGACTAAGAAATCATAAAGGTTGTGAGTGATTGCAAGTTAACATATTAGCACAGCTTTTTGGTCGTTGGCCTATTTAACACAACCTTTGGTGCCAGGCCGACCTTCCTTTCAATGTTTAGATCTACCATTGACTACCAGGTGAATCTCTGAGCCTGATTTTTTTTCACCTGGAAAATGGAGTTGTTAAATCCCCTTTCACAGAGTTGTGGAAATGAAATAGGAAATGGATTTGATGTGCCTGAACCAGAGCTAGCTGAGTAACATGCTAAGGGTGGCCGTCCGTGGCCGTTGCCTAAAGTGATCTGTACAGCGCAGAAAGCGCGTGCTCTCTTGTACTCCTCAGAATCACCTAGGAAATTGTTAAAGATGCAGTTCTTAGGCCCCACATCAAATCTACTGAATCAGAAACTTTGGGGGCGGGTGTCTGTAACCTGTGTTTTAACAAGCCCCTGATTCTGATGCTCAAGTTTAAGAGCCTCTTATCTAATGCGCAGGGCTGTGTAAAAATCAGTGAAGGAGAACTTGTAACTCACTTGGTTCTGTGTGGAAGAGTGAGGAGGTCTGACAAGGCTGGTGCAGGGATAAGGTTATCCTGTGAAAGTGATGATGGGTTTTTTCCTCCACACCAGAAGAAAAAAAAAATGCCTTTAATTAAATGAAGTGGTAGTCAACTTGTAATTATTCAAGGATAATTACAGAGCTTGTGAATCCAGTAGGACATTTACTGCTTCTAAAAATCCCCTCATTTAAAATTCTTCCATCCACCCCCTCCTTGCTCGCACCTTGTTTTAAAAATAATGATGCGTAGAGACTGAACAATGGTTTACTCATGCTGTGAATTGTGTTCAAGTTTTTTTTTTTAATTTACATTTCCCCTGGTTTCAAAACGGAAACAAGAAAAATATTCATGAAAAAAAATTGCCTAGTCATTTTAACAAACCATTTCTTAAACTATTGCAAACTTGGAATAAGTAAAAGCCAAGTAAATCAGAAAACAACCCAGTACACCTGGTAAAACCCTGTTAGTTACAAGAAGTTAGGCAAGCCAGAAGGAGGGCTCAGGACCTACCTGATAGAATCCTGGGAACCGTGGACTGGGCCCTTCACCTCCTGTTTCTTCCACCTTCCTCTGCCCTGCCTCCTTGGGTGAGTGAGACCCATCAGACAGTGTGGGGAAGGGTGAGTTTCTCTCCACGTCTAGACTATGAAATTCGTCCTACAGGTGACACTCATGCTGTCTTTCCTCACGTCACTATTTTTTTGGGTATTTCAGTTAAAGGGGAATGGTGAATAAGGGGAAAAAAAATGTGTTCACAGTTTGTCTCAAAATTGCTATAGTATTATTACATGTCTGCCAATAAAATCTTGGTGTGGGTTTAAAAAAAATATTTTTTAACTAAGGAGGTAAAATCTTAATTAACCAGAATCCTTAATTTAACAGGCTTTCCTCCCTGTGGGAGTCATCACTTTTGAATCTCATAGCAATAAGCCAGTGTTAGGAATTTTGTAAAATTAGGTTCTTATTATTTCTGTAGCAGTTTTTATTACTTTGGAATGAACATCTAGAAGCATGGTAAAATCTTGCCGATGCTGAGCTGATTGATTTAGAAATACTTTAGTAATTTTAAACCAGTGTGGCTTTTATAAAGACGTGTGTGAAGTGGACAGGAAAATGATGGTTGAGGTACTGCTGTTCACACCCTCACCTTTTAAACTGAACTGAGAATGTTGCCATCTGGGGTTCCCTTTTCTGAGACAAAGGTAGCAATTACTCAGAAGTTAGGCATAACTCTGCCTTATAAAGCAGAACCAAAGGCTCTGGACACTGACACGCGAGGAGAGCTGTAAGGACCCCCCTGCTGTGACCAGCAGCACCAGGAAAGGGAGGGGAAGAGCCGAGCAGATGCCGGCTGTGGTGCACGGACCAGGTAGCTTTGGAAAACGGAAGCGTAGGGGTTCAGGTTGCTCAGGGGACAGTTGCATGCCCCACCCCTCCCTGCAAACAAAGTGGCTGGAAAGCAAGTTTGAAGGAAAAAAGAAGTTATTTCCTGATCAGCCCTTTTACTTGGCTCCTGCAGTTGTATGTTGATGTTACATAAAACTTTTTTGAACCTACAAGAGCAGAGAGCAGTTACCAACATCATAAAATAATTAAAGGAATTTTTTTTTCCAGATTTATATTGGGGAATTGGGGGAGGGGACCAGATAAGTTGCTGTGCTTTTGCTCTTGAGTCTAGTTGTGGAGGACGTTGCCTCACTGGCCCATGTTGGTATTATCATTGCGCTCTTCCTGGGTGAGGCAGATCGGTCGCCGGCCATTGGACAGCCACTCACAGTGGCTCTTGGCAGCCCACTGCAGCAGGGGCTGCAGCCTATACCGTCGCCGGGGCCCTCTGGCATCCCAAGCCAGCTCTTAACCAACGTGCCACTTGGCTGGCCCTAGATGGTTATAATTTTTTAAAAAATTGTTTCTGCATATGTCTTCTAAAGTTAGAATTTTTTTTTTTTTAATTAGAGAATTGGGGAAGGGGAACAGCCAAGTTGTTATTCTTTAATCTTAGTTGTGGAGGCAAAGATAGCTCAGCTCCAAGTCCAGTCACCATCCGACCGCCCATTGGGCAGCTTGTGGCTGCTCAGCTCAAGGTGCTGTGTTCAATCTTAGTTGCTGTGTGTGTGTGTGTGTGTGTGTGTGTGTGTGTGTGTGTGTGTGTGCGCGCGCTCACGGGCATGCACGTTGGGGGGTGGGCAACATCCCATGCGGGAGCCAAACGACAACCATTGTTAGGAGCACGTGCTTTCACCAGCTGAGCCTTCCTGCCACCTTTTGGCAGCTCAGCAGCAGCTCAGCTCGGGCGCAGCACACTGGCCCATGTGAGAATCAAACCGGCGATCCTGTTGCTCAGAGCTTGCGCTCTTAACCAACTAAGCCTTTCGGCTGGCCCAAAAGTTAGATTTTTAAAACTTACAAGTAAGCTTATAAAAATATGTTGTAAGCAAAATGGCTGTTCTTTTAACTTAAAAATATTTAATGATCAGCTTCTATGCAAAGTACCTTCTTTAGCACCAGGAAAGAGAGAGAGAAATATGAATTCTATTCTGGAGTTCACATTCTAGGGGAAAGGTGAGAAGGAGAGAGAAACACTCAGCATAAGTCAGCACATACTTGGTGGACTTGGGGAAACCTTTAGAGTGGGTGACGTTGAACTAACTCCAGAGATTTGCTGGTAGCTGAAAACTGGGGATGTGGGTGTATAGTTGAGAGAGAGGCAGAGGAAATTTGTGTAATCGCAATGAAAGCGTCAAAGTCCAGGATATCACTGAGGAGCGGTACGTAGGCTGGTGTGACTGAAATATAGAGGTGGCTTGCAAGAGAATCATCCTTCTTAGGTCAGTCGGGCCTGGTGATCTTTCAGTGGAGATCAGAGCAAGAGGTTATTATAGGGTATGTTTGGGGAATAATGTCAAGTGGAATGCAGGCAGCAGGCCTGCGAGGAGACAGTGGGATAATTTCTAGAGCAGATTTGTACCAGATTGTGGGGGCATTTTAATGCCAAAGCAAGGATTTAGAGTTTATTCTGCAGCAGTACAGAGCCATCAAATGCTTGTTACTTTATTTTATTTATTTATTTATTGCTGCTCAGAGCTGGCGTCCCAGGCCAACTCCTAACCAACGCACCACTCGGCTGGCTTAAATGCTTGTTACTTTAAAATATGGATAGTGACATGAGAACTGGGGCCTTGGATCAGATTTCTTTCAATGGGAAGGCTAAATGAGAGGGACAAGATGTAGGGGAGGCAGGGAGAGCAGCAAGTGTGCCCTTGTCAGGGGAACAGGAGAAGTGAGGGAGCAGAGAGGCCAGGATATGGGGGAGGTGGGGGGTGTCTGACATCACGGCTAGAATTTCTAAAGGTACATATAGTTTTGGCAAGACAATTGAATATTTTCCTACTTATTTATTCAAATAACATTGGGGAAAAAGATGTAGTAGATAACCCTAGAAGCAGGTCTATGAGGACAAAAGTCTTTTATACTTATTTTCATTATTATGTATCACACGTGCTGGTTGGGGGTGTGTGGGCGGGAGGCGGAGCCTGTATTGCTGACATGAGGTGAGCCCACTTTTGGTTTAGATGCTAGCAAAGTCTGTGCTCTTTCTGGTTTCCATCTCTGTGTTTTGTTTGTCAGTAAATGCATTTTAACTCTTTTGGTGCCAGGGCTGATGATTTAGGGTACATTTTTATGTGGTTTAAGTCGGGCAATCAGATTATAAGACTTATCAGTAGGTAGAGCTTACTTCTAATATTGGATTTTCCCATCCTTGGCATTTGAAATAAGAAATAAAAATGATCTTCTCAAGTTTACATTCCAGGACACTCCCGTAGAGTAGGCTGAGAATAAAGTAAATGCTGTTTTGGGTGTCTAGTAATCTTTTAATTATGAAATAAGCCTTTTGATTTTAATCTTCCCAAATGTGCAGTACTGATCCAGGAAAACAGCTTTTTTTAAAGTTCACATCCTGCTGACTTTCAGATGAAAAGCTTCCACCTCTCTTCCGTATTTTGCAAGCCGAAAGTAAAAATACCATTAATCTTGTCTCTGTTCCACCACTGCCTATGAAAGACTGTTCATGTTGGAGTCAGTCCTGAGTTACCAAGGCAGGAGCCCAGAGTGGACACTGAGGTTTCTGGAGCCAGAACCGAGGCTGGGGCGTCACAGCCCGTTGACTGAGCCTTAACCCAGGAATGAACTGAGGGACTTACGCTTTCTTTAAATCATCTCCCTTGTCATCGCTTCTTCTGGACTTGTCCTTGCCTCCCTCAAACATGTACATGTGCACAGAAAAACTTGGATACTGATAAATTTTATTGTTCTTGTTCTTTTTGTGGCATCTGAAACAGCTTGTACAATGAAGATAGAAACCTGCTTCGAATTAGAGAGAAGGAAAGACGCAATCAGGAAGCTCACCAAGAGAAAGAGGCATTTCCTGAAAATATTCCCCTTTTTGGAGAGCCCTACAAGGTATTTATTTTATACTAGAAAGTCTGGTTTATCACAATATTTAACTCTGTGATGAAAGTGAGTTTGTACAAGGGCCACAACTGTGAAAATAAGACAGCTTACTTATCCTAGAGATTGTTTCTGGAAACAAAATATGAAAATTCTTTCAACCTTGTTATAGTCAAAATTACCTAAGTTTGTGGATTTCTTTTGTAATGTTAACCTCCTTTATGTAGTAATATTTGTCCACAACAGGCTTCTCCATTGGGAGTTGAGTTTAAATTGCATGTTAAATTCTATGTTACACATTAAATCGAGGTTTCTTTCTTAACGGTGTTATGTAACATGGTTTATTAAATGTTGGTTTTCCTTAGGGTTTTTTTTTTTGTATCTAACTTTGCTGTCTTATCTTTCTTTTTTCAGACAGAAAAAGGTGATGAGCTATCCAGCCGAATACAGAACATGCTGGGAAACTATGAAGAAGTAAAGGAGCTGCTTAGCACTCAGTCTCACCCTCATCGCTTGGATGCTTCTGCAAATAGGTCGGGCAAGCCAAGATACCCTTTACTTCCTGAGAAGGGGAGCAGCCTCCCACCGCACTCCTTCAGCACGAGTGTCCATCACCAGCCTATTAGCACTCCTGCCTCCGGACCACTGTCTGTTGGTAACATTAGCCACAATCCAAAGATGGCACAGCCACGAATGGAACCAGTGCCAAGTCTCCACGTCAAAAGCCATGGCCCCCCAGACAGCCAGCGCCTGACCCAAGATCGCCTTGGTCAGGAGGGGTATGGGTCTAGTCACCACAAAAACGGCGACCGCAGAGCTGATGGAGACCACTGTGCTGCGATGACAGACTCAGCTCCAGAGAGGGAGCTTTGTCCCTTACTCTCCTCTTTACCGTCCCCCATCCCCCCTTTGTCACCTATACATTCCAACCAGCAAACTCTTCCCAGGATGCAAGAAAGCAACAAGGTTCACAGCAGTAACAGTAACAATAAAGGCTACTGCCCAGCCAAATCCCCCAAGGACCTGGCAGTGAAGGTCCGCGAGAAAGAGACGCCTCAGGACAGTTTAGTGGCGGTTGCTAGCCTTGGGGTAGCCCCTCCCCAGCCACCTTCTCAGACTTTCCCTCCACCCTCGCTCCCCTCAAAAAGCATTGCAATGCAGCAGAAGCCCACGGCTTATGTCCGGCCCATGGATGGTCAAGATCAGGCTCCGAGTGAGTCTCCTGAACTGAAACCACTGCCGGAGGCCTACCGGCAACAGACCTTTGAAAAAACCGACTTAAAAGTGCCTGCCAAAGCTAAGCTCACCAAGCTGAAAATGCCTTCTCAGTCAGTTGAGGTGAGTGGAATTTCATATCTGGGGCAATTCCAGCATGAAGAAAGATTTGAGAGGGAAGTTTCTGGAAAGTTGGGGGCAGGGGTGTCAGTAGCTTTTGGGTGGGACAATTCCTTTTTGGCCTTAGGGTCTCGTTGACCTACAGAAAACTCACGCCTGAGATGAATTACTGATGGCAGATACTGAAATGTGATTTGTAGAAAGGTTAACAAAGATATTTTTATTGAGCCATAATTTACACATAGTAAAATATAGAGATCATAAGAGTATGGTTTGCTGTTTTGAAAAGTGTGTACACCTGTATAAACCACAACCCAATAAGATAGAGGACATTTCTGTCACAAGAAAATTGCAAGGAAGGTTTTGAGCTGTCTTGTTTCTGTTTTGTTTGTTTGTTTTGGGGAATACTGGCTTCTTTAACATTTTGAAGAAAATAATTGTTTTGGTTAATAGTTTGTTGCCCCAGTTAGTTTTTTCTGAGATCCAAACCATAAAAAAGTAAAAGCAAGGTTAAAATGTTGAGGCAAAGGATTAACTTTTTTAGAGATTTGATCCTTATAAATTGTAAAAAACTTGGAAACTAAAGTTCTTTTCTAATATTTTTTTATTTACAATGTAAGAAAGAAGAGTGGGGGTGTGGTGACATTTGAGAGTGTCACAAATATAATACAGAATGTTATTCAACTATGGCTGTTTCAAGTAACCAAAATACTGTATCTTTTTAAAGAAAGAAAGAAATTCCTTTTTTTGCCCCTTTGATAAATGGCAGCATTGTGTTTGAATGAGGAGAATCAGAGAACTCATCCTATCACTGAAATTCTAAATTAGCACCAGTGACTCCAAAATTCAGATAAGTAGTGTAAAGCAAAATGTTTGAAGTGAGTTTTTAAAGCTTATCTGCTAAGGTAAAGTCTGTGGTTTTTGTTTCATGTATTGTATAAACATTCTAATGTGCATATCCATTGCTCAAAGACTTGTGTGCACTTAGATATCAGTCTTACATAGTGCTAGAAGGTAAAATTCCTTAAAGTTAAAAAAAGAAAAAAAAAAAGCAGATTCTGGGATCCTTAGCTGAAAGATAACTCTTATCTTTAAGGAGAAAAATTTGTTCCTTGATGATATCAGCTTATGGTTTAGAAGAGGTTAGGGCTCTGTCCACAGTCAACTCTTGAGCTGGATGGAGTGTCTCCGGATGTCTTGTTTGGAGGCTGAGGAAAAATGAGAAAGAGGCGAGTAAAGCAAATGGTAGAAACGACCAAGTCAGCAGAACTCGACCTTTAACCCCAAGTTATGAAGATGTACCACAATGAGCCATTTATTGAACATTTTGTGCAGTGATGGGAGTTAGGGATAGGGAGCAGAATGAAGGCCAGGAAGAATCAAGTGAGCTCTTCCCTCTTTGAAAGGGCCAATCAGCAGCCTACCTTATAATTAAGACAGTAAAGAACTTAATGGGATTTGCTTTGCTTTATTTATCAAATGATGTCAGTTCTATTTTCCTACTTAAAGAAAAACAGGGGGCCAATTTAACATTCATTCATTGTTTTTGTAAAAACTAAGCAACTAAAAATTGCTTTAAAACCATTTTAAGACAAAACCCCAAATAATTTCATGGTCCACCAAATGTCCAACCATATGCTTTAGTGCCGGGTGGGATGCCAAAGGAGGATTAGTTTGCCCCAGGGGAGATGACAGCCAGTCTAGCGGGGAGATCAGCCTACACACATGAAACAGTTTGAGGACAGTTGAGTACAAACTATCTGCTACTAGATGCTTGGAGAGTTTCAAGTGTCAGCCTTGAGACAGCCTATGTAAATTCAGTCAGTAGGTTTCTCAGCCCTTCAGGAGTGAGCATTCTAGCTAACTTTTTGCTTTTTTGGTGAAAAAAAAAGATAAGCTGAGTTAATATTTCTTCAGGTCTTATTTAATATATAATTTCAAACATAGAACGATGTGAGATGGCCCTTGCATATTTTCTGAGTGGACATTTGACATTAACAAAACCCTCCATAAGTTTTGTGATTGGAGAGGGGGTTTTCTTGGCACTGATGCACCTGCTGTCAACAATTGAGCAGATGGAAACTTTTTGTCTTTGGCCCGTGTTTGCAGTCAGCATTCGTTTTAATTCTGTGGCTCCCTCTGGCTTCTGGTCAGGGTTCTCATGCCAGTGCCAGCTACAGTGGCAGCCCCCTTGGAGCCCCTGGGCAGTGAAACTGAGGGGTCAGGTAGATAGAGGGCTCATGGTGTCCTTTGTTGAGGGAATCAGGAACCAAGAGCTTGGAATGAAAGGGGAGCAGACCTGGGAAGCAGTGAGATTGGTACTCTCTGGCTAGGTTTGGGATTTTATTCAGCTCTTCTAACAAAGATCTCACATTTCACAGACGTAAAGTACCATTAATTTTCACACACCCAGGACAGTGGGTATATTTTTATGTTTTTAAGACAATGTAGATTGGGGCGGCCGGTTAGCTCAGTTGGTTAGAGCACATTGCTCATAACGCCAAGGTTGCAGGTTCGATCCCCGCATGGGCCACTGACCTGCACCCTCCACAACTAGATTGAAACAACTACTTGACTTGGAGCTGATGGGTCCTGGAAAAACACACTGTCTCTGCCTGCCCATCCCCCCCACTCCCCCAATTTTTTTTTTTTTTTAATGTAGATTGAATTTTAAAATCTCAAGTATTTTGGTGACTCTAAGGAAAGCCTAGAGATGGGGGACTGAAAACGCAGGGAGTTGACCCCAGAGCAGGTGAACTCTGAAGATAGAACCAGAGTATGAGTAATACCCTGGACTCCTCTGGCACTGGGGCAGAGGATAGAGGAGGAGGGGAAGGACAGGAAGGTGGCTGTCGGTAGAGCTGTGCGAAGGGGAATGGGGCAGCTCAGTGGTTTTCCTTTATTTGCTTAATTTGTCCTAAGGCAAGTCAGAGGAAGTTTTCTTCCCCAGTTTTCTGAGTGTGAGGGTTTTGTGGTTTGTTTCACTGCTCCTCTTCCCCACTGCTTCCATGAAACAGTATGTTAAAAAGTGACCCAAAATGGACAGGCGTCTTGTCTGTTGGGTGTGTCTTCCTACTCCAGCTGCATAAGTACGGCTTCCTTACTCTGCTTTCTGTCCTTTCGCTTCATGGGAAAGACTCGGTTTGTATGTTTTAGTTGGTGCTCCTAAAAAATGATATGCTTTTATGGGATAAATCATTCTCACAGTTAAAACTTAATTTTTTTCCTCTAGGGTTTTAGGAAAGATTATCAACAGGCCCGTCCTCTGACTTGATAGAGGCCTGGACCTCAAGAATCTGCACTTGGTTTTCTCTGGGTGTGTCAGTTTTCGTTTTGTGTCAATTGGAAGATGTATAGCAGCTTAAAATGAGCCATCTGAGGCCATAGCCAGTACTGACTGATCTCATGTGGATAAATTCCAGTGGAGAGGCACACATTAGTGATGGGACCTGCCCAAGTGGAAAGTTGAGGTCCCTTTCTATTTTTCTTCTCTGTTTAAAGGTAACAAAGGAAAGGGAGAGAAAAACCATGGCATCTCTGTGTGTGTTCATGAGCATGGGCTCTGGTGGAGTGCTTAGATACAGGATGTGTGAACTAAAATAGGCAGTGTATTGAAAGGGAGAAATGAGATAAGCCGAAATGGGTATATCAAATTGTATACTGGACTTAGAATATTAGAATTTAAAGCTAAACATACAATGTTTTCATGTTGCAAATAAGGCCTAGGAGGGTGAAGTCACTTCATTTTGCCAAAATTTATAGTTAGTAAGCAGAGCCAGAGTTAGAACTCCCAGTTCTATGATCTTTGTACCTTGGCATGTTGTTAAGTTGAGTGGAGACCATCGGAGGGTTTTGAGCAGGGGAGTGGGTATATCTACTTTCTTTTTTGAAAAAGATCATTGTAACTCCTTGGTGGAGAATGGTGGGGAAAGGTTAGAAGCAGGGAGAATAGGTAGGGGGTGAGAAGTGCTGATGGCTTGGAGTAGGATGGTAGCAGTGGACACAGAAGTGGGCAAATTCTGGCTGTATTGGGCGCGGAACTGATAGGCTTTGTGATTGACTGGAGATGGGAGAGGGCATGAGTTGAGGAAACGTGAGGCATCAAGGGAGGCTTGTAGGTTGTAAAAATTATTTTTATTGATTTTTGATTTGAAATTTTTGATGTGGGATGCTAGGATGATACCAGCTACTGAGATGGAATTGACGTGGGTAGAACAGGTTTGGCAGGAAAACCAACAGCTTGGGATAGATCATGTATTAAGTTTTCGATGCCTTATTATATCCAGGTAAGACATGATGAGTTGGCAGTCATAAACAGTAGACCAACTCAGAGAAAATGTTAAGACAGGAGCTAATAAATTTGGGATGTGTTTGCATATAGTAAGTATTTAAGGCTGTGGGACTAGGCAGGTATACCTGAGAAGGCCCTGAATCATACCCCTCCTGCCTCAGCTTCACCTATGGCAAGGGGCAGTGGGTGGGAAGAAATGAGGACCTGCTAAGTTTTCAGAAGCAAAAACTGAAGATCATCTTGAAAACTTGAGAACCTGTTATAGATAAACGGAAATTACAGATTTCTATTTTTTTCACTTACGGTTTGAAGTATACATGGAAATGGTACAATTATCTTAATTTGCATCCAAATAACTCACTGGAACCTAGCAGAATTTACTATCAATTTAGTTTGTCATTACTTCTATCTCCTTATATGGTCCTACTCCATTCTGCTCTAGCTAAATCTGGCTTGGAGTCCTGATGGTCTCGGATTTCCTCAAAGCATTGCTCTTTTCGTTGAGGCCTCTTATGACATCATTTAGGAACTTTTCCTGTTACCAAATGCTTCCACCTCATTTCTAAGACTGAAGTGTCACCTGCAGCTGTGCGTTCATTATTGGATCACTTTGACTCATGGCAACTCATAAAATGAGCCTTCCATTTTCAATAAACTGCCAGCCTACCTGAAATAATCCCCGGTGGAAAACTGTGATTCACTTTGCATTTAT